CCCCAAAACCCCAAAACCCCAAAACCCCAAAACCCCAAAACCCCAAAACCCCAAATAGGGGAGAAATCATAGATTCACCGATTATATTATATTTCCCCATTAGGACATCATGGGAAGTTCTAACTCAAAGAAAAAATTGCACAAGAGTAAAACTGTTTTCAGGCCAATGTCTAAAGTGGCCCTTGATGAAATTAAGAAACATTACATGGTGAGCTCAACTGCTCTTGGAAGAGGAGCCTTTGGGAAAGTCTTTAAAGCACAAAGCCTGACTGATGAAAACTTTAGAGTTGCAATAAAAGTGTTAAACAAGAAGAACATGAAAGAAAAAGATATTGAAGAACTTGGTGGTGAAGTCCAGATCCTCAACCAACTTGATCACAAGAACATTGTAAGATACTATGAGGTATATGAAGATAAGAAGTCCTTATATTTAGTCATGGAGTATTGCAGCGGATCTAATTTGTACGAGCGTCTAACGTATCAAGGGATAAAGTACTCAGAAACTGAATGAGCAAAATTAGCCCAGCAGCTACTCCTTGCTCTTCATCACTGACATTCCTCGGGGATCACTCATAGAGATATAAAGCTGGAGAACATAATGATTACTGAAGATAATATTGTCAAATTAATTGACTTTGGGCTATCCAAGAATGCCACTAAAGAAGAGATGATGAAATCGATGACTGGAACTCCATACTACATGGCACCCGAAGTTTTAGAGGAAGAAGAGTATACCTCAGCTGTAGATCTTTGGTCTCTAGGAGTTGTACTCTTTACCTGTCTTGGTGGGTACAGACCCTTTACAGGCGCAAACTTCAAAGAAATATCTCAAGCTATCATTGGATGTAAATATAAGTTTCATTCCAGAGAATGGAGCGGAATCTCAAGAGATGCTAAAGATTTAATCTCGATGATGCTTACTAAGGAACCAAAGAAGAGGATTTCAGCAGAAATAGCGCTGAAGCATCCTTGGTTTGGTCTGATCACAGAAATTAAATTAGATGCAATAGTCAAAAAGGAACAGACAGTGAGAGGAAAAACCATGACAAAATTGAAGAAGTTCCAGAAGCTTAACCCTCTTCGTAGATGAGCAATTGAATTCTTATTAAATATGCTTAGCGATGAAGAGAAACAATACTATGAAAAAGAATTCAATAAATTTGATACAACTAAAAGTGGCATGATCAGTGATAAGGACTTCATAAACAAGGTACAAGAATCTGAAGATGATCTGAGCAATAAAGAAATCAAAAAATTAATGAAGGAATTAGACTACGATAACTCCTCACAAATAAGCTATAAAGACTTCTTGATTGCAACTCTGGACGTTAAGAAGGTGCTGACTAAGGAGAGGCTTGATACAATCTTCAATAAATTTGACACCAAGCTCAGCAAGTCTATTGACGTAAATGATCTGATGGAAGTCTTATCCTCTTGCTCGTTCAAAGTTACCGAGAGAGAATGAGAGGAATTGATTCACAAGTATGACATTTCGGATACTGGGTATCTGACTAAGACAGACTTTAAGCTAGTGATGCTTCATTCATAGTGCAACATAATCTCCAAAATTCATTTATACCACAGCTAAATTGTTATTAACTTATTCACTTGCGCATTAGTCTACGGGGTTTTGGGGTTTTGGGGTTTTGGGGTTTTGGGG